CAATGCAATTATGGAGGAGTACAACGCATGCTTGCTGAACAGCAGCAAGAACAAGTCATCCAATTCTTAATGGGGCTAAATGAGTCATATGCTCATATAAGGGGACATATTCTGTTAATGAATCCTCTTCCTCCCATTTTAAAGGTTTTTTTTCTAGTTGTTCAAGAAGAGAATCAAAGAAACATGCAATCTCTACATCCCATCAGAGTCTGTATTTGCTGTCAAAGCTTATCCTAGCACGAACAGTCGCAAGAACAGACCTTTGTGCAGTCATTGTAACCTTCTTGGTCATACAAAGGACATATGTTATAAACTCATTGGCTATCCACCTGGTTATAACTCCAAGAATTGGTCTTCTTCGAATTCTTCTCGTGGTAAAAATCCTCAAGTCATCCATACCAATTCTGTGGTTTCTCAACAAGGTTCTTCCACTGTCACTGAAGCTTTTACTCCTGAACAGTGCCAACAGTTGATTGCCATGCTTACCTCTCAATTACAATCTGCATCCTCTTTGGACATTCCTACTACTTCAATCAATACTACCATGCAAGGTAAGATCATATCACACATAACTGCTTTAGGTGCTGGAATATCTTATTACTGGATTTTAGACTCGGGAGCTTCAAGACATATATGTTGTTCAAGGAATAATTTTGAATCATTATTTCATATAATGAGTTATTCAGTCACTTTACCTAATGGATCCATCATTTCAGTCAGCTTTGCAGGCATAGTTCGGTTTTCATCTGATTTTGTGTTACATGATGTAATGTTTGTTCCAGATTTTTGATTCAACTTGCTTTCAGTAAGTGCATTGTTGAAATTCTCTGATCTTAGTGTGTTGTTTTGCAAAACGGGCTGCTTAATTCAGGACCTTCATCAAGTGATTAGGAAGGGTGAGTTGGTTCAAGGACTCTATTTGCTGCAAATGTCGTCATTCAAAACCAATATCTCATGTAATAATGTTTCTAGCATTTTGTCTAGTGACTGGCACAATAGGTTGGGTCATCCCAGTCTTCATGTTATGAATCTTCTCAAGGATGTTTTGGCTTTAAAGAATGTAAAAATGAAAGATTCTTGTCAAGTTTGCCCATTGGCCAAGCAACAAAGATTTCCATTCCCAGTTTCTTGTTCTCATACTACTCGACTGTTTGAGTTAATCCATTGTGATATATGGGGACCTTACAAGCACAAAACATATTCTGGTCAGACTTCATTTTTAACCCTGGTCGATGATTTCTAAAGATCTACCTGGGTCTATTTGTTGCAGCATGAGTCCAATGTCAATACAATTATACCCGCGTTTATATCAATGATCAAGAAACAATTTGAACTTGATATAAAGTTCTTCAGGTCTGACAATGCTCATGAATTAAAATTTATTGAATTGTTCACTAGCTTGGGTATACTTCATCAATTATCATGTGTGGAAACACCCCAACAAAATTCTGTAGTTGAAAGAAAAACATCAGCATTTGTTAGCCGTTGCTCGTGCTTTGTATTTCCAATCAAAGGTGCCAATAAAATTTTGGGGTGATTGTTTACTCACTACTACATACTTAATCAATCAACTTCCATCACCTGTATTGAGCAATAAATCTTCTTATGATGTATTATACGGCCACTTACCAGATTACAGCAGACTACGAGCTTTTGGTTACCTTTGTTTCGTTTCTAATTGAAGTCTCAACAGGATAAGTTTTCAGCTCGAGCTTTACTGCTGTGTTCCTTGGATATCCTCCAGGTGTAAAGGGATATCGTGTCTATGTGCTGCAAAGCCAAAAGATTGTTACTTCTCGAAATGTCGTATTTCATGAAGGGTTATTTCCTTTTCAAAATACAAATTTATCTGACCATTCTGTTGATTGTTTTCAGGATTTTTGCTTACCAAAAGTTGTACATGACATGATTGATGTTTCACATGTACATGGGATCGAACAGGTTCCTCTTGAACCTATTGATTCGAATGGTGATGCTTCTTTTGACTCAAATGGCTCGACTAGTGGTGCTTCCTCTGAATGTGCTGATTCACATGATAATGTTCCCTTAGAACCTACTGACTCGAATAATGATACTGTCTCGATTGATGCTGTTTCGATACCAGTTCGACGTTCTTCTCGTACATTTCAGAAGCCATCTTACCTTCAACAATATTACTATAATAATACCTCCTCAAAATGCTTATATCATATTGAAGGTTTCCTTTCTTCCTTAAAACTCTCAACTGAGTATGGAGCTTTTGTTGCAAATATCTCCTCTGTTGTTGAGCCATCCTATTATCATCAAGCTGTAAAGTCCCTAACATGGAGGAATGCTATAAGTGATGAACTTCGAGCTATGGAGGATTTTAAAACACGAACCATTGTTCCATTACCTGATGGAAAGAGGGCTGTTGACTGTAAATGGGTCTATCGGGTGAAGCACAATGCTGATGGCTCGATTTATCGTTGTAAAGCCAGGCTGGTTGCTAAGGGATTCACACATGTTGAGGGAATTGACTAAATGGACACATTCTCACCTGTTGCGAAGATGACTTCCTTTCGAGTCATGCTCTCTCTTGCAGCAACACGTAACTGACATTTGTTGCAATTAGATGTGAACAACGCTTTTCTCAATGGTGTATTAAATGAGGAAGTTTACATGAAGCTACCTCTTGGATACAAATTTGAGCTTAAAGGATCTAATATGGTTTGTAGACTCCACAAATCCATTTATGGTCTGAAGCAAGCATCCAGACAGTGGTTCACTGCCTTTTCTAATGTTGTGATTCAACTTGGCTTTCAGCAATCTCCGTTTGAACACTCTTTGTTCACAAGGGGATGTGGAAATAAATTCATTGGTCTACTCGTATATGTTGATGATATCGTTTTGGCCGGGGAAGACCTACAAGCTCTTCATAACATACAAAGCCTTTTACAACAGTATTTCAAGCTAAAGGAGTTGGGACCCCTACGTTATTTTCTGGGCTTTGAAATTGCTAGGAATATCTCTGGAATTGTTCTATCTTAGAGGAAATATATGTTACAGCGACTAGAAGATACAAGTTGCTTGGGTGCTAAACCAACCGAATCACATATGCCTTCTTCATTAAAGTTAAGTGCAAATGAAGGAACGTTAATATCTGATCCTCAGGAGTATAGAAGGTTGAGATCGTTCACACTGTACATTTATTGAGCCAATTTGTTTCCTCACCTCGCCTGCCTCACATGACTGCCTTAAAACATCTTCTGGCATACATTAAAAGCTCTATAGTCTCGGTTTACTATTTCCAGTTCGATTCACCAATCATCTGAACATATTTATTGATTCATATTACAGCTCTTGTCCTGATACAAGATGTTTCACGACAGGTTTTTGTGCTTTCTTTGGTCATAGCTTGGTGTCCTGGAAATCAAAGAAACAGGCTGTTGTTAGCCGATCTTCCTACGATGCTAAGTATCGAGCTATACGTGTAAATTGGTTTGGCTTGTCTCTTTGTTATCTTCATTTCATGAGGATGTTGATTATGCTAGACTATATTGCGATAATCAGGCTGCAATTAACCTTGCAACTAATCAAGTGTTTCATGAGAGAACAAAACATATATAGGTTGATTTTCATTTTTTACGAGACAAGGTAAAGGTTGGGTTCTTGAAGTTGTTTCACGTTCGATCCTCTGACCAGTTGGCTGACATTTTCACAAAAACTCTTCGGCCTCCCGTACATCATGCTTTCATTACCAAGCTGGGTCTTCTTAACATACATGCACATCCAGCTTGAGGGGGGTATTAGGATATACCATCTTGCATTGTTGTTAGTTTTTAATCAGTTAGATCTATTAGTTCAAGTTAGTTTATTAGTTAGCTGATTAGTTAACTGTTGTAATTCAGTTTGTTAGTTAATCTTATAGTTGTATATAAACCAGCCTTGTAACCTTTTTTATATATACAAGAAGCATTATTCATTTCCTGTATTCTTGATTGTTATAATTTAATTTAATATTTTTTAAGATAGAGAAAGACAGGCGACACTCTCTGAATTTTATTAATAAAAGCTTAAAATATTCTCAAAGAGAAGGAGGATTATATATAAAAGGTAGTGAAACACTCTGAAGGTTGAGGGTCAACATAGACATATTGCAACAGACCATAAACATCAACGATTAGTAGAACTTCTTGTTTCTAGAGAATGAAATTGTTCTTTGAGAGTTCCACTGTATGAAGCGTAGGGAGATGTTGCACAACCACAAAAGTTAAAGACGTATTCTCATAGGAATCCCCCATAGCTTCAACCAAAGGATTCAAAAATCACAAAACAACAAATGTAACAATGAAACAGAAGCATGACCCGACAGAAACAATGGCGAAATATAAGATAGAGAAAGAAAGGTGACACTCTAAATTTTATTGATCAAAGCAAGTAATATTATCAAAGTGAACTAAAATTATATACAAGAGATAAGCAGATGTTGATTGGTTACAGAAAATCTAACAACCCTAACAACTTCAACAAATCACTAATAACATAACGATCATCTTTCTACCATACAACTCACGTGTTTAATGACTTTTTTTTTACATCACGCCTATTTTCAAATAGGTTTATATTATAAATAAGTAACTAAAGTATATTTTTTTATTTAAGTACATAAAGTGTTTTTTTTGATCAAAAGCAATATCTGAACTTATCATAATATGTACCTAAAGTATTTTTGGTTAAAATATGTACATAAAGTACTCAAATGTTTTCATCTAAGCTCAAAAAAATTGATAAGTGATATTAATTAACGAATATTTTAGGTACTTAAAAGAAAAAATTGAATATTCTATATACATGTTTTAATAAAAAAGATAAATTTAAATATTTATTTTAACAATACATACTTTAAATGTTTAAATAAAAATAACATACTTTAAATACTTATTTATGATATAAACCTTCTAAATAAAAAGTTGATACATTAGTGAAAAATATGTACAAAATTACGAAGTAAAAGAGAATCGGACATAAATCCTGTCGAGAGTTGTGTTTTTAAGAACCAATGAAAAAGCGAGTATATAGTCGGGGTACCACAGCAACAGCCATGGTTCCACGTGTATGGTCCCAACGAATAGCATCTCATCACGTGCTTCACCCATGTGCCCTGTGTTCTCTGCCATCATTCTCAAACTGAAACCGTACACCAAAATCCACCGCCGTATGCAGCAGCATCTCCATTATCTCTTCCTCTATCTCCGCCACAATCCCTTCCCCTTCTTCCTCGTACGCCACTACACTTTGGTGCTTCATCTGTGCCAAATCTTTTTCAATTAACCCATCAATGTCTTCTAAAACACGACAATCAGCTCGGGGGAAAGTTCTAATTTTGGAGCACAATGAGCCTATGCGTCTTCGTACTCTAGCGATGTACTTTTCTTTATCGCCGGCGATAGTGGCAATGGAAGTAAAAGCACTTTTATATCTGTCTCTCGGTCAGAGTGTACGTGCGTCGCTTCTTGTTTCTTGTACATTTGGCTCGAACAACTAGATAACTGTGACCCAAGTTTCGGTTTTTGAGCATCTAAGACCTGTTTTTGTGGGATTTTTGCATGACCTAGCTCGTTTGACAATCGGGTTTTCCTGCATTTCCTGTCCGTAATGTTAACTCTGTTGACCGTGGAAGGACGAACGAAAGGCTCCTCTTGCCTTTTCAGCCGTGAACTGAATTTTTCATTGCATCTGCTAGCGGTTTTGGGTGGCTGCCGCTTGTGAAGCCCATTAACTGGCTGAGCCTTGGTGGATGATTTTCGAACTTTGTTGGTTATGTCCGAACCAACTTTCCGGCTGCCAACACTTTGTTTAACCTGCTTCACTGTCAGCCTACCACTTCTGTTATCTTCTTCAAGTTTGAGCTCCTTTTTCAATGATGAGAGACGGGAAACGACCAGGTCTTCAGTAGGGCTCATGTTTTCTTTGTTAATTTGAAGAGACAGGTGGTGGTGGTGGTGATCCATATCAGACCTTCTTGCAGACGATGAACGAGTGCCGCCGCCCATGTGACCGTCCAATGATTTTCTGTGACGAAAATTCAGTGTTGAAGAAAGAGATGGTGAAGAAGGGGTTTCGTTTTGGGGAAGAAGATCAAGTCCCATGAGCCTAGCAACAAGTGTAGGCGACTTGGTCCCTGGAGAACAAGTCTCATTATCTCCAGCTCCAGCTTTTGATCTTCTTGTTTTGATCTGTAATTTAAATGAAGATGATGATGCTTCTTCCTCCTCAGTCTCCGAACTGTTCCTTGGCGCTTCTGCACCTTTAACGACGGTGGTTTGTGGAGAGATGATGGAGTCGTGGGGCTGGAAACAACCATAACCGCCACTGCCGGTGCCGGTAGTAGCACTTTGGCGGGTTACAGGGAAGAGGGGACGATGAAGATCAAACACGTGAAACACAGCAGTGAAGCAACCGGAGGAATGAGTGTCTTTCTTGGCACTTCCCCTATACCAATCTCGGCCCATCTCCAATGGCAGAAGAAGTTGTTAGACGATAGAGATAAGAGAGAGCGTTGATTTTGGGCAAATGACTGAGATAATGTGTTGAATTTTTTTTTTATTCAAATAGTCCACTTCAATAATTATTTCTTATATTATGATGTTATGAACAACAACTTAGAGAAACTCCAAGATTATCCGTGTCTTCACCTAATTTTCTTTTTTCTTTTTTCTCTACAAAATAGAAGACGCATGGAAAACACCCTAATTCAAAAAATAAATTGGTGAAAGCTCTATATCAAGAAAAAAAAATTAAACGCCCTACTTGGGCGAGGAAGCCGTTTGGTTTGAAGAAGAAAAGTTGAAAATTAGGTTATAGGACGAGGGTGACGCCACAAAAGAGGATACGTGTACTCAATTAAATGGAGTTGAATTATTTTTTTTGAATTAATTTAGTTGATTTTTTTATAATTCAAATTTGATTTTAATTGTTTTTAGTCGGGTTAAATTTATAAAATTTGAATCAAATAATTTTTGTTTAAGTTTAATTCATATATTTATAGTGTTATATTATTAATTGATTCTAATATAAATAGTTTATATATATATATATATATATATATATATATATATATATATATATATATATATATATATATATATATATATATATATTAAAATTTTTATATGTTGTCGTAACCGGTTTTCGCCCGGGCACGAATTTTTACTTGGCGAGAAAAATAATGTGGATAAAAAATAATTAAAAAAATGTTTTAGGAGTCACCATCGGCCTTTTGGGTCAGGTAGGTCGAATACCTAAAAATTACCTTTTAAAAGAGTTTTTTAAGAAAACATCAGTTAAAAGATAAACTGATATGCGTTTAACCAAAAATTCGTTCTTTTTAGAAAAAAAGGAATTCGTGGTCGGTTACGTTTAGGGAAGGATTAGCACCCCTATAACACCCAAAATTAGTACTCATTAATTATAAATTGTCTCTATTATTAAAAATTTCAAAATTCAAAGATATATTTAATTTATAATCATGTTATTTCAAATTCATTAATATAATTTTAAGAAAAGATATTAATATATATATATATATATATATATTTAAATTATTTATTTACTTAGAAATATCAGAAAAGGGCTTTTAGGTGCTTTAAGACAGCTCCTTTCTTTAATATTAAAAAATAAATAAATATTAAAAAATTTATCTAAAAATAATTAAAAATAGATTAATATATATATAATTTAAAAATAGGATAATATCAACAAAAAAACTTCTAGTTGCTTTAAGACAACCATTTTCTTAATATAAAAAATAAATAAATATGAAAATATGATTATTTTTCCTAAAAATAATTTATATAAAATCAAATTTATAAATAGGATAAAAATAAAATAAATAAATATCACTTATTATATAAATATTTTTATGATTAAATAATAATACTAATAATAATAAAAATAAATATATTGAAAATAAACATATAAAATTAAAATATATTTAAGCAATAACTAAAATAAATGAAATTAAAATTATAATAGAAAAAAACAATAAAACTTGTAATAAAAAATAAATGAAAATATTGAAATTAATGATTAAAATGTAAAATATTTAAACTTAATACTCTAATTCGAAATATTACCAGATCTGGAGGTCTATAGTGTAATTTATCCTTATATAATTATTTCGGGGTTAAAATAAAATTTATTAAAGAATGAGGGACTAAATCTAGTATTTATCATAAAATATATAAATACTAGCATGGACTAAAACATAATAAAATAAAGTTCGAAGACTAAATTAAAATGATCAAAAATTGCTTTTTAGTGCCTAAATTGTAAGGATTACAAACTATAGTGATTGCGGACAGGGTTTACCCCTGATGGAAATTACACGCACACCCCTCCTAAAAACGACGTCGTTTGGGGAGGGGTTTAAATACCCCAAATGGCCGGCCCTTCAGGCCATTTATTTCATTTCCTCTCTTTTCATTCTCTCTCTAACTGAGAGAGAATTAAAAATGCTCTGTCCTCTCTCTTCAACTCCCTCATCTGAGGGAAAAGAATTCTGGCCGGCCACCTTACTCCGGCGCCGATAGCCACTGCCGACCACCGTTCACGGTGGCCAGAATTTTGAAAATTATCCCAAACCGTAGATCTACATGTCCTAAGGTCAAATACGACCTCTATTTATCCTAAAAACCCTTAGAATTTCCTAGATCTAGGATTTTACCTTCGAAATCCTAAGGTTTCCGGCGATGTTTCAAGTGCCTCCGATGACAAAGTAAGATCTCTCTCTTTTTTTTTTTCTGGTTTGTTGTTGATTGGGATCGTTGGTAGCTTTCTGTCTTCCTTCATTTTTTTTTCTTCTCTCGTCTCTGTTCTCTGTTGTTGTCCCCTCTTTTTTTTCTTTGCAGGTTCGGTGGTTGCTTTTATAGGCACCACAGTGTCCTCTTCGGACTGGATAATAGGGCAAAGTTTGGTGAGCCACCAAACTATAGTGGTGACTCACTATAGACTTCAACGTGTGCGGCTGCTCTGAGTCTTCTAGAGTCTTTGTCGGAGGCGTGACACTGGTGGAGCGTCGACAATGGCGTTGGCAGCTGTTGGTTGGGTCACTTGGCAGTGGAGGCGTGGCAGCAGCTTCTGGGGACCGTTGGATCAAATTCAGATCCAACGGTGATGAGGAGTTGGCGGCTGCTGGTGATGATACAAACCCTAGATGGGTTTAGGGTTACTATTGGGCCATCTGGGTTGGGTTTGTCCTGATCGGGCCTTCATGTTTTGGTTCCGGGATTTGTAAAACGGGCCTCAGGTTTGGGTCTGAAATGTAATTAAAATTAATTAATTAATAATAATATAATATAATAATAAAACAAAATAATAATAATAAATAAAAAAAATGAAATAAAAACTAGTGTCTTCAGCTGCCACTCTTTGTTCATTCTTGTGCTAACGAGAATAGGGCAAAGACGAAAAAACAATAAGTTTTTTTTCCTTTGACTTCATTTTATTATGATGGAAATGTTGAACAAGTTCTTTTTCTTTGGGATTAGTTCTTCTCATTATGAACTTTTCCATTGGGATGACAATTTATCTCCTTTTGTGATGTAATCTAGCAAAAAAGTTGAACAAATTCTTCTCTTTTTTCAGATGAGTTCTTCTCATTATGAACTCCTTCTAGAAATACTGATACTGATCTATCTCCTTCTGTGATAGAATCAAACAAAGGTTGAACAAGCTATTCTCATTATGAACTTCTTCTTCCTTCTTCAGACGAGTTCTTCTCATTATGAACTTTCTCTGGAAAAATTGATGCTGATCTATCTCCTTCTGTGATAAAGTCAAATAAAGGTTGAACAAGTTCTTCTCATTATGAACTTCTTCTTCCTCTTCAGATAAGTTCTTCTCATTACGAACTTTCTCTGGAAAAGTTGATGCTGATCTATCTCCTTCTGTGATAGAGTCATGCAAAAGGTTGAACAAGCTCTTCTCATTATGAACTTCTTCTTCCTTCTTCAGATGAGTTCTTCTCATTATGAACTTTCTCTGGAAAAGTTGATCCATCGAGTGATGAATTTAAGCAAAAGGTTGAACAAATTCTTCTCATTATGAATTTCTTCTTCCTCTTCAGATAAGTTCTTCTCATTACGAACGTTCTCTGAAAAAGTTGATGCTGATATATCTCCTTCTGTGATAGATTCAAATAAAGGTTGAACACGTTCTTCTCATTATGAACTTCTTCTTCCTCTTCAGATAAGTTCTTCTCATTACGAACTTTCTCTGGAAAAGTTTATGCTGATCTATCTCCTTCTGTGATAGAGTCATGCAAAAGGTTGAACAAGCTCTTCTCATTATGAACTTCTTCTTTCTTCTTCAGATGAGTTCTTCTCATTATGAACTTTCTCTAGAAAAGTTGATCCATCGAGTGATGAATTTAAGCAAAAGGTTGAACAAATTCTTCTCATTATGAATTTCTTCTTTCTTCTTCAGATGAGTTCTTCTCATTATGAACTTTTCTAGAAATGTTGATCCATTGTTATGGATTTGAACAAAAGGTTAAACAAGTTCTTCTCATTATGAACTTCCTCTTCCTTCTTCAGATGAGTTCTTCTCATTATGAACACTTCTGGAAATATTGATGTATTGTGATGGATTTGAATCTTTGCTAAAATCTTTGAAATTCCTATCAAAATTCAACATGGATAAAATAAATGAAAATACACCTATTTTTGCAAATGCCTAAATATGATGCATGAATGTTAAGTTCATATTTATTTTATTTCAAAGTGGTGAACTCGGTCTTCCTTCAGTTTGGTCAAAATGTCATTTCAAGCTGGCATTTCTGATTTGAAAGAGCAATCTTTATGTCTTCTTTGTTTCATGATAGTCTCAGAAGAAATGTTTCATTTATGGAACTCTTGCCGTAATCAAAATTATGACCTTGATGCCCCATTTTTATCTTTGATAACATCGGCTTTCTTTGCTTGGACTTGTGTAGAAATCTAATAAAGCTTTCATCTTTGAAAAGAGAATCTATCATCTTTGAAGAGTGTAGATGTAGATATGCCTGACTCAGCAGGGATTAATTGGGAGAGTAGAGTATGTTCTGATTTAACTCTTGAAACACATCACAATGAGGATTTATCCTAATTCCTTTCACGTCTCCACATCTAATCAGATCTCAAACAAGGCAACTTGAACCATATCATGTCGAGATGCTTAACAACAATATGTCATTCAACATTAGTTGGCTCTACTATTTTCTTGTTGTTAAAATTTCAGCTTCCTTTCCGTAGATAGAAATCTTCATCATATCTCACTTCTAACCTTTGGGTTGAAGAAGACAAACTTCATCTTGGATCAATAAATGGAAACCATATGATCACAACATTAGTTCAATACCATAATTACTGGTTCATAAAACGCTTGACAACATATTCATCCAGCTTGTGACTTCTGCACATATGCTATTTGACAACACATTCATCATTTCATGTGACTTATGCATAGATTTCTGGTCAG